AGACTATATAAACATCTTAAAGAAAAAGAGACCATGTGGAGATGGTACAAGAGACTATATAAAGATCTTACAGAAAAAGAGACCATGTGGAGATGGTACATAAGACTATATAAACATCTTACAGAAAAAGAGACCATGTGGAGATGGTACAAGAGAATATATAAACATCTTACAGAAAAAGAGACTATGTGGAGATGGTACAAGAGACTATATAAACATCTTACAGAAAAAGAGACTATGTGGAGATGGTACAAGAAGTGACTATGATTGAAAGAGCCTGCTACCTTGTCTGTGGAAAAAAAATGGAAGAAGATGTCGTTACTATCAGCCACAATATAAAACCAGAAAATGTATGCAATATGATTTCTTAGATGTAGTTTCTTTAGATACTTTGCTATATATTGATTGCAATCGTAATACAGGATCAGTGATATCAATACTTCTATACATACAAACATGATTAAATACACATTATCAGGATCTAAAAAACAACACATTTGATCAATACTTCTATACATACAAACATGATTAAATACATATTATCAGGATTTAAAAAAGAACAACATTTTTTTTTAAAATCATACTTATATCTCTTGTTGAAGTAAAAAGTCAAAGGCTTTTACGTAACAAAGAAATCTTACTTGCTATATTTTAGAACTGGTTTTGAATTGAAAATTATATTTTTATTCAAAAAGTAGAAACACTTTTATGGACCACACTATAACTGATTATTTTGAAACTGGTGCTCATTTTACTCTCGAAAGCTGGAAATTGTTTTGGTCACTTTGTATATGTTTATTTTGAAAATAAGAATTATTATAGTATTATCATAGAAACATTTTTATGGTCCTCCCTGTATCTGATAATTTTGAAACTGACAATTATGTTTCTGTTTTTAGTCAAAATATTTTTTGGTTCACCCCTGAATATGTTATTTTTGGAACTATTAGTTATCTCATTACTGAAAATAGAAACATTTTTATGATCCACTCTGTATTTGATTATTTTGGAACTGACACTCATATTTCGATTTTTATTCGAAATAATGTTTAGTTCACCCCTTAATAGACTACTTTTTGGAAATGACAATTATCACATTAGTAAAAGTAGAAACATTTTTTATGGACCACACTATAATTAATTATTTCGAAACCGAGGTTCATTTTACTATCAAAAGTTGAAAATTTTTGTGGTCACTTATTATTTGTTTATTTTGAAAATAAGAATTATCTTGATATTGAAAATATAAACATTTTTATGGTCCTCCCTGTATTTGATTATTTTGGAACTATAAGTTATCTCATTACTGAAAATAGAAACATTTTTATGGTCCACTCTGTATTTGATTATTTTGTAACTAAGATTCACTTTATTATCGAAAGCTGGAAAACTTTTTGTGGTCACTTTGCATTTGTTTATTTTGGAAATAACAATTATCTTAGTGTTGAAAGTAGACACAATTGTTTGGCCCGGCTCTGTATTTGATTATTTTTGGAACTATCAGTTATTTTATTAGGGAAAGTAGAAATATTTTTATGTTTCACTCTGATTTTTTGCTTATTTTAAAACTGACTGTCATCTTTCTGTTTTTCATTCGAAATATTTCTATGATTCACTTTTTTACTGAATTATTTTTGGAACTGTCAGTTATCTGATCAGTGAAAGTAGAAATATTTTTATGTTTCTTCCATTATTTGATTATTGTAGAATTGATATTAATCTTATTATTGAAGGCTGAAACAATTTTTTATGAAACACACTCTATTTGTTCACAATTTTATATTTTTGTTTTCTGACCTTAACTTTATATTTAAATGTATATTAAAAATACCTACTAAGTAATCGTTTAAAACAAGGGAAGAAAACAATAATCTAGATTAAACATGAATTTCTAAATTGTTTGGATAGGCAATAATGGGGAGAAAACCTAATTGTTTTGGTTGGCAATAATGTGGAGAAAACCTAATTGTTTTGGTAGGCAATAATGTGGAGAAAACCTAATTGTTTTGGTAGGCAATAATGTGGAGAATACCTGATTATTTTGGTAGACAATAATGTGCAGTAGACCTAATTGTTTTGGTAGGTAATAATGTGCAGTAGACCTAATTGCATTGGGAGACAATAATGTGCAGTAGACCTAATGGTAACTGAATAATTCAGTGGTTGTGTGATGATTCATAATATTAATAAAACAAGAAAAGCTAGTAAAGAAGGAAAAATGACATAAGAAACGAAATATTTTTTCTTTGTTGAATAACTGTAATCAACTTTAAAAAATTAGGAAATTTACAATAACATTCTTTTTTGCGGTAGTTTTTAATTTTTTTCTGTTTATAATTTATATTCAAAAGTTTTTACAACTATCGTGATATCAATAAGGTGTTGTAAAACGTTTTTTTGCAATAATGTACTATTTATGTTTTAGTTAATTGTGATTGCTAGACTTAATAGCCATGTAAAGGAGCATTTTATTTAATTGTGATGGCTCTATTTAATAGATGTGTTAAGGAACATTTTACTTAACTGTGATAACTCAGTGAAACATACTGGGTAACTAAGAAATCCAAGTAATAAAGTTCAAGAATTAAGCATAATTATCGTATTTGTGAGGTTTTGGTTTCAGTTTATTTGTATACACTAGTATTTAAAAATTAACTGAGGACCATACATGATGTTTAATACAAATTTGTTCGACAAAGTAACTAATAAATATATTATTGAGTTGAAAAATGGCATATTAGATTCTTAAGTGTTTGGTACAAGTGATTATTTAATTTTTTCTATTTACTGTATCATTCCATCGAGCAATAATAAAGAGTTTTAACTTTCTTGACGTCAGTCTTTAGAATATTATCTTCATTAACAATAGATTTAAAATAGGCCTAATATACTGTGATACGAATCACTTAAACTGTAGATGCCCCTCCCCCAACATACACACATATTCTTCTTAATTTATCTATTTCAGCTTTCAATCTATAAGTGTGTAAAAGTAGCATTTCACATTTATCATTTGTCTCTCACAAATATATGCCCTGTGAACCTTTCTTTCAATACCAAAACTCGCTGAATGAAAGGTCTCGTGGACAGTGATCCGTGGCTGACAAAATATATTTCTGTAATACTATTTTTACACATTCCTGGTTTAAAATCCTAAACGTACAAGTTAAGAATTATGTAAAAAAAACTGTTTAAGTGAGTTTGATAATAAATATTCGGGCTATCGGTTTCTAATGTTTGTATCACTACCGGTCTTTAAACAGACATAACAGATTTTATTAACCCTCTTGTTATCTGCAGATCAAGAGATTTTTGTTCTAATTCTGTCTAGGTAGA